CTCCCTAGTGTAAGAAATGTAAGAGTACATAAAAGTTTTTGGTAATCATGATTCCGCATTACTTTGTTTTGAAGCCTTATAATGTTTGCATTCATTAGTTGGAATGATTTTATCCTGGTTTGTTTGGTTTTATTATCTGTGATAATATGAACAGCTATTTTTAAGAAAACAAGACATTATAATAGCCAGTGCTGATTTAATATCATCTTACTCTGAAGTCTTACCATGCTTTTGTTCTTCTGTTTCCATTGGGTCTATCATATTGTATCTTACTGGATTTTATTATGTGTGATAGTATAAGCAAATTTTCTATGGAAAATGAGATAATATAGTAGCCATTGTTCATTCTCTGTTATTTGGTTCTGAATGCCCTGTAATATTTTCATTCTCTTGATTGGTTTTATACTATTGTTATGTTAGATACTATTGTATATGAAGTTATGCTCAACTATTTCAAAGAAAGAGACATTATGGTAGTTACTGTTAATTACGGGTTGTCTTGTGAAATACTGTGGTGCTTACATTGTTCTGTTCTGATCTGCCTTGTTATGTCCTCTTTTGTCTTAATCTCTTTAAAACAAAATTAAATTAAATTAAAAGGACAAGTCTGGCTGGAAAAAATGGAGAACTGGCGTGTTAAAGAAGGCAAGTACAAACACAATCACTACTTTGAGAGTTTTTTTACTAAGAAGATGAACAAACAGGAGATAATGGGGTTAAGGAAGATAAACATTATAAGATATATTTGAAAACTGATAGAAACAACTCAATAAAAAAGGAAAAACTTTTTCTTCAGGAAAAGATGAATAATTGCAGGAATGAAAACCTTGGGAAGGAAGACAAAACAGAACCCAGAGTACAGCAGAAAGATTTCCTCCAGCGGTGACTGTGGCAGGGCAGCTTTGGTCAAAGACAGAAGGCAAAATCGAAACTACTTTGAGCTTAAGAAGTGAAACAAGGAACCAAAAACAACAAGTAAAACAAAATTACTGGTTCTCTCTAGGTAATACAGGATCTGGGGAGCGTTTTATTTTTCTGTTCTTTATACATTTTGACTTGCAAATTTTCTAGAAGAAATACTTAGTGTCATAATGAGAGAAAAAGAAAAAAATGAATAACAGAAAAGTGAAGTCAGCAAGTATCTCAGAACTTGACGAATCCCAGGGAATAGAGAAGGCACAGCCAGCATCTCTAGACACAGAAATGATCCTTGTGGGAAGATCTTGCTCATAATGAAACCATTTTCTCCTTTTTAATCACTAGTCCTATCTTACTGGATACTAGTGTGCTCTAAAGAAGATAGTCCAGTATAGCAGGTCAAACACACTAGCTAAGAAGAGTGTCTACACTCACTGAATTGTTCAGTAGTGAGGTTGGCACAGGCAGATTCATGAGGGTTACAAATAAGGTATCACAACCAGACGAGGCTCAGAAGTCTAGGTAGACACACACATCACCTACAGAAACATCTACCGTCAGTCAGCCACCCCTCTTGGAGTCTCAGACTAGAGGTCTTGGGGCAGGATGGGCTTATAAGAACAAAGCTAAGCCCCGGCAGGGACTTTTCTGTTGCTCCGTTTAACAGCAGCCTCAAATCATGAAGCTGGTAATCTTCAGGTGAGGTTCCACATCGCTATGCAGACACACTCAGAGCATTGAGAGAAGATGATACCTGTCATTCATCTTTGAACATCCCCTCATTTCCAGACCATTGGGCTCTCGTGTGTTGTAACTTAAGGCTTTTATAATCTCACAATGACTTTATGAGCAGCACAATCACATTACACTATATCAGACAAAAGTCTGATTCTAAGGCACCAAGTTTTTAAGAGAGATATTTAAAATACAGTTTATCTAAAACTAGTCCTTAGTATTTCTTTGTGTTTTTAAATTAATTGACTTTATTTTTTTAGAGTAGTTTCAGAGTTACAGAATAACTGAATAGATAAGTTCCTGTATTCTTAACCCACCCACTACTGTTTCCCCTAGTATTCACATTTTGTGTTAATGCAGGACACTTGTTAGAACTGGCGAATGAATACGGGTACATCATTAATAATTAAAGCAAGCATTACATTAGCATTTAGTGTTTGTGTTGCACAGTTACTCAGTTTGACAAACACAAGAGGTCATGTATCCACCATCACAGTATTATACACAGTTTCTACTATTCTAAAAATGCACTTCTCCAGCCCTTAGAAACCATTGATTTTAACTATTTTTATAGTTTTGCCTTTCTCAGAAAGCCATTTAGGTGGAATTAAACACTATGTAGTTTTTCCAAACTGGCTTTCGTCACTTTTTAGTAATACACATTTAATTTTTCTCCATGTCTTGGGGAGGCTTCATAGCTCATTTCTTTTTAATACTGACTAACATAATGTCTGGATGTAGTACGGCTTGTTCAGTCATTTATCTATTGGAAAACGTTTTGGTTGTTTCTAGCTTTTGGTAATTGTGGATAGAACTGCTACAACACTCACATGCAGGTCTTTGTGCAGGTATGTTTTCCACTCAATCTGGTAAATAAGAAGGAGCACAACTGCTTCGTCACATGGTAAGGTCATCAATGTTTAGCTTTGTAAGAAATGCTAAGCTGTGTTCCACAGTAACTATACCATTTTGCATTCCTACGAACAGTGAGCAACAGTTCCTGTTGCTCTACATCCTTGTCAGTGTTTGGTGGTTTCAGTGTTCTGTGTTTTGGTCATTCTAATAGGTGTGCGGGGATAGTTGGTTGTTGTTTTAATTTATAATTCCCTAATGATGTATGGTGTGAAACAACTTTTCATATATTGATTTGCCATCTGTCTATCTTCCTTGGTGATATGCCTATTCAGGTCTTAATCCTCTTCTTAATGAGGTTGTTTTCTTATTGTTGAGCTGTAAGTGTTCTTTGTGTATTTTTGGACACAGGTCCTTTATTATATATATTTTTTATTCATACCAGGGATCAAACTCATGACCACCTGCTTGCAAGGCAGGTGCTTATGCCGCTGAGCTACACCCCCAGCCCCTATTTAATATATTAAGAGCCTCAGAAATTGCAAGTGGTTCAGGCTTCCCTCAACCACCAAGTAAGTAGAGATGGGATAGATAGTACAATTACAAAGTCTTGTACTTGTTTGGGCATGAGACGTACATGGCTCTGAGCCACTCAGATCAGTACTAATGGGAATAAGGAGCAAAAAGAAATAGTAATATTGCCATATCGTACGTGAGGCATAAGGCATTTTACATGTCTTATTCCACAGCCATCTTAAGAAGTAGATCATACACAGGAAAAAGCCATCAAACCTGTCTAGTGTCAAACACATTAAACAAACTGTCTCGGGTCATACATCTGTTGCATGATAAAACTGGAACTCAAACAACTCCATGACATCAGCAGGACAATGTAAAGCTAACCTGTCTCAAAGCAGATTCCACCAGGAATGGATGATGTGCCAACCCTGCACGCAGAGTGAGCTGAAACTCAAGCTCACCAGGCAGTGGTGAGGTCTGAGCTGCTCTGCTGTCAGGCGGAGGGATTACTCACATTAAGATAATCCAGGAAGGCTCTTTGGTTTGAAGTAGGATCCCAAGAGACAACTGGGGATACTGAATCTAATTCTTAAAAAGAAAAACAAAAAAACAGGAAAAAGTTAAACATTGCATTAAGACTCCTGGTAAACAGACTGAGAGCCAGCCAGAGGATGTGAACATCTAGGGAATAGATCACAAATAAAGAAAGCCCACAGGGACAGCTATTCAAGCCACAGAGAGGGAGCTGGAGAGATTCTTGAGCTAAGAGGATTCGCCACACGATTCTCAGCCCAGGGGAGCAAAGCCCACTTCAGCACAGGCCTTACTCTGTGCCTGGTTATGGTTTCAAGTTAATTGTTGTCACAGCCTGCTATTAAAAGGAACAGAAGGAAACCTCAAAGAAGGCAGAAACTCCAAACAGAAACAAAACTGTATGCCAGGGCTCAGAGACTGAGCTGAGAGCCATTACCAGAAAGAGGACTCAGGTCAGGGCTGCTGGAGGCCTGAGACAGTTCTGACCTGGGATTCCTGAAACCCCTCTGACATTAGAACCGACCCAGAGGTGAACCTAGGGCTTAGCTGAAAGGTGTCACCAAGTGGGCCCAATTTTAGAAACAGGGTCATGGTTGAGCTAGCACATCTAAAGAAAGCGAGGTCAATAGACTTTGCACAAATTAGATCTGACAACCTAAAGTTCCAAACTCCTTCAGGACTCAGGTGCACTGTGCTTACTGCAATGTAAAGTTCTTGAGAAGCAATATATAAAATGAAATTTTGCAAATTCATTGATACTTTGAGCTGGGGTAATTTGGTGTTTAAAGAAAATTATTCTTCTTGTAAATCTGGTTTTAATCTGATTTCCTTCTATGAGAGCAATATATATGCATATAGTACAAACATTTATTTCCAAAAAGTAGTAGTTGCTATTACTAGTATATCTAGAGTTTAGCAAGGTTTAAATTCTTTTCCTAGAATATATATTCAGTAAACTGAAGCACATTGCCTAAGCCAGTAGTTCCTACACCTGACTGTACACAGAATTAAGACAGGAGTTTTTAAAGAATACAGATTACTAGGCCTCACCAATTAAATTCTCATTCATTCGTTCATTTGTTTGTTTGCTTATACATAGTTAAAATAAGATTTATTAATGACCTTGCTTAGCAGAAGCTTAGAAGAATGCAGAGTCCACTATTCATCCAAGTGACCATGAGGGGGTGAATTACATTTAACTTGCGAAGGCACTGCTTCTTTGAGATGCAGATTTTCTGAGAGCCAGCATATTTGAACTTGGCCATGCATGGGGCCTCAATCATATGTTCCTCATTCTGCAGCTTGGCCCAGATGGAAATGATGACTTGTCCAACATGAATCCTTGCCACTGTGCCGTGGGACTTCCCAAGGGCATGCTGACACCCACATGGAGCCCAGATTGCAGATTGCTCGAGATCAGAGATAACAGCCCTCACTGGGCAGCGCTTCTTCAAGGTCCTGTAGGGCAACTCACACAAGCAACAGTCAGCAGACACAGCTAGGGGCTTGCTATTTTGGGGTCACTGTACCCTGGGTACCCACAAGAAAAGGAACCTAGTTGGCTTAGTTCACTGCATTGAATTTCCAATTCAACAAAAAGCATAAGAATGCACCAATGGCTCCCCAGCAGGACTAGAGGAGTTGGAATTCCTCCTGCAGCTACAGACTGCAAGCAGAGGGAAGTTAATCCAGCAGTGATCTGCTGCTACACTCACAGGTGCCCCTCCTCCAGTGCCAACAGGAGAGACATTTCCTGCTTGCTCTGAGCACAGTAATCTCATGATAGAGAGTTATTGGCCTAGAAAGGTGGTCTCAGAGCCAAGGGACAGCAAGCTGCTCTTCCACCTGCTGTGACAGCAGGTCCCTGGCCTGCAGTGTACGTCCCCAGGTAAAAACAAATACTATTAGTGTCCCCCAGGCAGGTGATCTTGACCTAAAATTCTACTGGCAGGCCTCATCCTCACTCACTTCATACCTAAAAGTTTTTAGAAGGTCTTGTGGTGAGTAGAATAACATCCGCCAACACCCCTTGACATCCACATCCTACTCCCCAAAACTGAATACATTAGGTCATATGAAAGAAAATGGTTACCAATTGACTGACCTTGAGATGAAATTATGCTGGATTATCTGGTGGGTCCAGTGGAATCGCGAGGGTGCTTAAAAGCAGGAGAGGAAGGGCAAGAGACAGCCAGAGAGATAACAGCATATGGAGAACTTGGTGCAGCACTGCTAGAGACACGGAGCCATGAGCCAAGGAGTGTGGGTGGCCCCTAGAAGCTGGAATATGTTTCTGCTGACACCTTCATTTAGCCCATTGAAACCCATGCCAGAATTCTGGCCTTCAGAACTGTGAGATTACTTGGGTTGTTTTTAAGTCACTAACTTTGAGATAAAACTTTTTACAGCAGAAATAAGAAACTAAAATAGAACTCATTAATACTTTTTTTTAGAATGCAAGAAAAAGGAAAGATAATTTAAAAGCTTGACAGACTTCTCTTTTGTACTGCAGGGCCCTGCAAGTCATTGCCAATATTTTCCTTTTCTTTTGTTTTCTTTTCTTCGAAAAGACAAAGAAATTTCTATATCTCATGAGCACAGGCTTCTTTATTGGACTAAGATTTTAACACAGTTAAAGTAGGATTGTGGCAAGATCCAGGACCCATATTTTGAAAGTCTCCCTAGGCGTCTCTAGTAGGCAGCCAGGTTTGCAAACCACTGATCTAAGATTTCAGTTCTAGTCTACATAATTATGAGGTGGCTGCATGCTTGGAAGATGAGTACTAGCAGATTATAATTAACCTGGGAGAACATAACACCTGTGGTGACTGTGAGGCTTAGGCCTGATGGCACAACACTTCATTGTGTGACCTGCGTAATGGAATGGTGAGCACGCACATTATATGTGGATGCTGTTCCAGGACAGAAAACAGACCGAGAGGGTGTTTTAATTAATTAATGAAGGCTGTTAGGACAGAGGACTTATTGATTCTAGCAACAGGTAACAGCAAGCTGAAGGAGTGGAGAGTTACTTTGAACTGAGTGTAGCTCAGTGAAGTCAAGTGCAGAATAATGCATTCTCTGTAAAAAGGAAGGAAATAGCACAGTAACAAACAGAGTCAGGGAAGACTGCAAAATCAGAAAATGATGCGGAAATAAGACCAGTCACAAAGTAGGGTTTCTCTGGGGATGCAGCTGGGTTACGTGGCCTGAGCCTCACGAGGCCCTGAAATTCAGTCTTCTGACAGTTTGGTATCTGATAAAGATATCCATTTGTTACTATAGTTACACATTGCATGCCACAATTTTATAATCCCATTTTCCAACATCTGTTTTAATGAATTAGGAACGTCAAACAATAAGCCCGTTCGTCCAGGTGTCTCAGTGGTGTGGTGGATCAGATCTGTTTGGTCCTGCAGTTTAAGAAGCTGGCATAGATACAAGGATACAGGTACAGGAGGAACAGCGAGAGTGCCCAGTGAGCAGAGATGGAGGAACTGAATCCAGAGAGAGCAGAAGATTGACTTTTTTTCCCTAAACATAGTATTAATAGGTACTTTTCTGTTTTCCCTTTTTTCTGCCAGTTATATATGCACATATATTTCTACAAAGACTTTACTCAAAACAATATCACCCAACCCTTCTTCACCATTTCTGCCACACTTTAAATCCTTGTAGATTTTTGTTATCTCGTCTCTAAATAAACATACATAAAAAGCTGGTTTTTCTTTCTTTCTTTCTTTTTTTTTTTTTCCCCAATTTTAGCCATTATCTGGTTTCCCCAGCATAGAAGATTAGGACTTGATGTGTTTCCAACTGCTGCCTGGCCACATACACTCATGCTTCCCCACTCCCCATTCTTCTAATATTGATGTTGTAATGTTGGCTAGATGAATGAATGTTTGTATTTTCCTGGCTATAAGACACTAATTATAGCTAAGCCACTTAGAAAACCATGATTACTTTTCCTTTCCTGAGTATCTTTTTTTGTCACTGGAACTAGTAACTTATTGTCTGTTTACTTCATTTTTTATGAATGTGCTTGCTATTTGTCTCTGTCTAGTCTCAAGACATTCATGGCTTTCGGGCATTATAATTTCACCAGTCTCCAAACCAAAAAGCCTTTTCTGGAGTCTTCCAACGTGTTCAAACCCGTCCCTATGACAGCATTCTCATCTGAGATCTCTCTTCCTCCTCATCCAGGGAGTCTCCGAGCTCCCTCCTAGTTGAACACTAATATCCTGTTTTTTAGTTTGCTCATTGTTTTCAGCCATGTTTGGGGGATTTCCTGAGGCAGGGGCAGGTGATATTAACCTTGCCCGTCTGAAAATGTTTTAATCTGCTCTGAGTCTTTATGGGTTGTTTGAGCTAGGCGTTGAATTCTAAATTGGCAATAGTTTCCTCTGAGCATTCTGAAGTGCACTGGCATCTGGCCTGTAGGGCTGCAGCCACTCTGTCTCACAATCCTTTATGCAGGGCTGTTCATTTGCCTTTTGGGGAGCTTGTAGCATATTTTCTTTGTCTTCACTGTTCTGATAGTTCCCTCTGATGTGTCTTGGTCTGGGGTCAATTCTCCACCTTAGCATGGCATTCATTCAGAAATGCACACTCAGCAGCTGTGGGGAACATCTTTGAATTCTATGTTCTAATGACTTCCTGTGCTCTGGTTTCTCTGTTCTGTTTTTGGTACTCTTATTTGCTTATATCAGACCACCTGCTCTGCTCTCTTAATTTTCTTATCTTTCCTTTTATTTGTCTGTCTTCGTTCTCTTTTACTTACATCTCAGAGAGATTCGCTGTCATTTTCTCTTATTGAATTTTTGTTTTTACTATCGTGTTTCCAGGAGTTCTTATTGTACCCTGAATGTTCTTTTTCCTGGATCATCTCCTTATTTGTAGTTATTTATCTTAGCTTTGAAGATATTAATCAAAGGGTATTTGATATGTTCTTCAACCTACACTATCTCCTGTTCCTTTGGTCTCTGTAGAGGTTTTCCACAATAGCTAGGAAACCTAAATTCTTTATTCTTTTTGAGAGTGGGTGCTAAAAAGCCTAAGGGCAGTTCTGAACTTCTGGGTTTGTTGATCACAGGTTTTACTGTTCCCTCTGGCTGGGCTGTTTGGTCAAAGGACCTTCACATTAGTGCCTTGAAGTTTTCCCTCTTGAAGGAGACCAGGTTCCTCTGACAGGACGCTATTGCGCTGAGGTCTGGAGCACAGAACTCTGGCTGTCTGCACTGTGGGGACAGAGCAGGGGCTCTCACTGGCTATGCACTGAGCCCTTCCATTTCTAGGTCAGCATCCAATCCTCAGCTCTGCCCAGTGCCCCCCAATCTGTTGACTTTCTGTTTTGGCCTCTTTGGGGCAGGCGCAGGCCCGGTTCTGCACAAAGGAAGAAGACCTGGGAGCCCCACTGCTCCCTAAACAAGCTTTGAACCACTCCTGGTGAGAGAATCGACTCCCCGTTTGTAATGTAACCCCCCCCCGAGCTATAGAACAGAGCTGTAAGAAATGTTTCACTCCCTAATTCCTCCTTGAGATATCGGAGCAGGACAGGAAGGAATGCATCTGCTAGTCATTAACCACAAGATGTTCTGTCCTCTGTAAAGGTAAAGATAAGTAAAGGAATGTGCTGTTCAAACGAGACCGAGTTGTACCTGGCACTCTGAGATCAGACCAGGACCCTCAGTCTCCATGGTTACTCAGCCCCAGACCCCTCGAATCAGCATCTGCCAAGCCCTGCGCCGTTCAAAATTAACCAATGCGATCTGCTTTTGTAAACCTGCTTGCTTCCCGCTTGTGCCCTTAAAAACCCTGCACAAATTCCCCTCGGGGCCCTCCGCACTCGTTTGCCTGGAGGACCCCATGCACATGGAAATAAACTTTTTTTTTTTCCTCACCAAGAGTTGAGTCCTTGGGGTCTCTTTCCCTGCGGCGTCAGCCCTAACATCTTGGAGGCCCCAGCGAGATAGCACGTCTCACGGGAGGTGACCTCAACGGCTCTGCGGTGGGTAAGTACGACCGGTCGCTTCTTATTTTTACTCTGAGGATCAATCTACCGGTATTTCACACCCTGAGCCAAACGGCTCCGATCTAGGGGCAATTTTTGTTACCTGTTTTTGTTATTTGTTCTCTGTTCTCTGGTGACCAGGGGACGCCCCACACGGTCTTCCGTGACTCACCGTCTGCGATAGGATTTTCCTATCGGTCTGGGGAATTTCATTCCCAATCTGTGGTCCGTCTGGGCCAATCTGGGGAATTTCATTCCCAATCTGTGGTCCGTCCGGGCCAATCTGGGGAATTTCATTCCCAATCTGTGGTCCATCTGGGCCAATCTGGGGCCCAATCTGTGGTCCGTCTGGGCCAATCTGGGGAATTTCATTCCCAATCTGTGGTCCGTCCGGGCCAATCTGGAGGCACCCCCTAAGGTGACTCGTTTGATGTGAAACTAATGCGTGAGAGTGAGGTGGCCGGCCTGTTTGTCCTGTGTGTTGTGACTGTTGTGAACGGTTATTTGTTGTGTCGCGCGTACGCTAACCACTCTTTGTCTTCAGAACATCATGGGACAAACGACATC